CTTACTTACTTAGTTGGCTATTACAGACGTGTGTCGTCCTTGGCCGCGTCGAGTAGCCTCCGCCAGTCAGCCCGATTAGTTGCTTTCTGACGCCAGTTGGTAGTACCGAGCGCCCCCAAATCGTTGGTCACCTGGTCCTTCCACCCAAGATGCGGACGTCCTCTACCGCGTTTTCCACCTGCGGGTACCGAATCAAATACCTTTCTAGTCGGAGCACTTTCTTCCATTCGCACAACATGACTAAGCCAGCGTAGCCGCTGAATTTTTATGCGCTTAACTATGTTAATATCGCGGTATAGCTCATACAGCTCATCGTTCCATTTTAATCGATACTCGTCGCCAACGCGTAAGGAACCATAGATCTTCCGAAGAATTTTTCTCTCGAATGCTCCTAACGCCTTCTCATCACTGTTGGTAATTGTCCAAGCTTCTGCACCATACAGCACGACAGGCATGATAAGGTATTTGTAGAGCCTGATTTTTGTTTGTCGAGAGAGGGCTTTATTTCTCAATTGCTTACTTAGCCCGAAGTAATATTTGTTGGCAAGAGTAATTCTTCGTTGAATCTCTAGCCTGACGTCATTTTTGGTGTTTAAGCTGGTTCCTAAATAAACGAAGTCTTTCACAACTTCGAACTTATAATTGTCAACAGTGACGTAGGTCCCAAGACGCTCAGGAGATTTGTTTGTTGACAGAAAGTACTTTATTTTGTCCTAATTTACCACAAGACCCATTTGTTTTGCTTGTTTTTCTAAGTTGGAAAATGCCGCACTGACGACGCGGGTGTTCAGACCAATGATATCAATATCGTCGGAATACGCAAGCAGCATTACACTTTTTTAGAATATTGTGCCAGTACGGTTTAAATCTGCTGCTCGAATTATCGTTTCCAACATTAGGTTAAAGTAGTCACACGACAAGGAGTCACCCTGTCTGAAACCTCGTTTGGTATCAAACGGCTCAGAGATGTTCTTTCCAATTCTAACGGAGCTGGTGGTGTTGCTCAACGTCATTTTACATAGCCGTATAAGTTTTGCTGGGATACCAAATTCAGACATAGCGGCATAGAGTGTGCTTCTAGTCGTAGTGTCAAAAGCAGCTTTGAAGTCGACAAATAGGTGGTGTGTGTCGATTTGTTTTTCTTGAGTCTTCTCCAGGATTTGACGCACTGTGAATATCTGGTCTAGAGTGGATTTGCCAGGTCGTTCTCTGTTAGTCAGTTTTAATAGCTGCTTTGCAGAAATAGAGACGAAATTTTTGTTTTCCTCAAGACTCCGGAAATAGATATAAAGCTAACATTTTGAAGATTAGAATTAAGAGATAATACAAATCAAGTCGTTTTATTTCTAACTATTCATAACTATATGGTAGTTATGAATGAGAAAGTTATATTCATCGATCAGCCAAGAATGCACACAAGGACATGTAAAATATCTTTCCTTTTTCAAATAATTGACAGATGGCGTAAAACTACTCCCTGTGATATAATTTAATTTTAAGATCCAATTCAGGATGATACTAAACAGTTCAAGTATTCATTAACCTGTTATAGTTGCTTTTGGCGTAATATATAGATACCTGAATGCAGAGTAATCCAATGTAAATCAAATAGATTTGTAAAATATATTAAAAATAAAATAAAAAAGATATTGAATTATTGAAGAGACTGACATGTGACAAGAGACTACTCAGAGTCAAATAAATAAATCGCCAGAAAACAGGTATAGTGGACTTCTGATGTGTATTTTGTAATAAATACACAGAGAAAAAATTGACGGCAAATGCCATAATCGTATAAAGATAAAATTAGATACTATGTAAATGAAGTTAGGTTTTTCTTATTAGTTTTCTTATAATTATTTATAATATTTATGTTTTATATATTATAAATTATTGAAAATGTTAATTTTGTAAATGTAAATATAACCTAAATTTAATAAAAAGAATACTACTACTACACAGAGAAAAAACATGGCGAAGGTTCTTGGCTGAACTGAAATCTTAGGTGGGAAAATGAGAAAGAGTAGACATCTAAGAACAACCTATACAACTTGCAGCTTAAAATAGAATAACAATGACTATTTGACTGAACATATGATGATGAGCTTAAGGGGCTTAACACTTTTATTTCTGACCCACTACACTCAATTAAATAGGAAACTTCAATTCAGCAAACATAAAAAGCACTGGGCTTTGAAATGATAAGTATATCAAATAAATAATAAAAAATTTATAAATTATTTGTATAATAGTGAAAGACCATTGACATTTAAGAAAAAGTAATGGTGACTAAGCTTGTCAGAAAAAATCTGTAAATTTAAAACTGGGTCAGGAGCTATAGAAAGCAAGGACATACTATAGCTGTGTAGGAAAAAATGTAAGAATTATCAGAATTTTACTGTGGAATAATTTAACATGTCTAACAAAATCTCGAATTCCAATCCATGATATAACACTAAATATTATAAACCGCTCATAATACTTAGCAGATATCAAACATATATGATATTAGTCTACCATAAAAAAAACATAATGTAAGTTCTGTAAAGTATCACTTAATGAACATGTCTATATATTAAGTTATAATAAGTCGTCATCTAAGTTATACTTAAGTGTAACACTCAAGTGCTTTCCCACAACAAAAAGAGTGCCCAAGTGTGAGTTCCAGAAACTTGTTGATTCCATGAAGAGGTTGCGGTGAATACTTCAACAATATTCAACTTACCTTACAGCAACAACAACAACAGACCAAATAGTCTAGCTTCATGATGTTTGCAAGTTTTGAGAATTATGGACAGTTTTTGCTGTACGCGTAATTATTGAACTAATGTACGTTGTGGATCAAAACAATATTTTCCGAAATCATTAAAATTATCTTCAGGTTTTGATTATAAGAGTTACATCATTATTTTATCTCGTCGCATTACTAAGCATTTAGTTTTCAACTGTTTAGTTGTTGTTGTTGTGTTTGCTCTTCCCCACACTAAGCTAGAATTTTTATAATTTATTTATTTTCTAACTGATGACGGACCGGAGATCAGCATATCTTTCTGTGCATCCTGAGCTAAACTTAAGGTTTGTTAGGACGGGGTTGGGCAACGTATCAACTTTTGTGAATAATTTTGGGGCTCTGTCCTTGATATATTTTTTCACTGAGTCGAACATTAGTATTTTGCCGTGGCAGAGGATCTGTCATATATATTCTTCTACATGGAATAAATTTCCATATATTTTTCTACATTTCATAATTTTCAAAAGATTATTTTTGTTTTGACTCAAACTGAATAGTAGTAAAATATTTGAATATTAAATTGAATAGATCTAAGAAGTATAGGAGTTTTAAATGTCATTTGTAAAATATGTTAAAATAACAATCAGGTTTAAAGGAATAAAAGTGTAAAAATTTTCGTATATCAAAATTTTCAATAAAAACAACTGGCGGAAAGTGTCCTCGTAACAAAACTTTAGTATATCTTTTAAAAAATCTAATTTTTAGTCATGGATCCTATGCTAATTGTTTCCCCAAAGGACAAACTCCGTTTCTCAAAAACGGGTGAACGTGAATGTCTTTTGCATCTTAAAAATTCGGTTAATACTCCAATTACATATAAGGTAAATTTATATGAATCTTTTTGAATAAATTTTGTAAAACTCGTTTGAATTTTTAATTTAAGGTTCAGACCTCATCACCAATGAAATTCCGTGTCAGACCACGTTTTGGTGTTTTGCAACAAGGCGAATCAGTAAATGTTGCCATTGTTCTAAAAAATCACGTAAAACTTAAAGAAGGATTCGAAAAAGATAAGTTCCTCATAAGTGCTCTACCAGCTCCTCCTGATTTGAATGGACCGGAAGTCATGGAAATGTTTTGGAAACAAGTTCCTTCAAAGTCTTACAAAATTGAACAACATCGCGTATCCTGTGTATATGATGTATTAAAAGCGCCGGTGGAATGTTTATGTTGTCAAAGGTCAAAGGTAGATAAAATAATTAAGTGTTCAAAAAATTAACGTTTATGTGACATATAACAACACAATATTGAAAACGCTTTTCTTGTTCGGATCAACTATATCTATAGCCTCATTCTCCTTACTACTTTATTCCTCTACAAAATCTCTACAATTTCTGTAAATTCTCTACAATCTCTACGAATCTCTACAAAATAATAGTTTATTTCGAAGATCTGTAGTGGTTTTTTCAGGATGAAGTGAATTTATATGCAATTGATATTTCGCGAGTCAACGTTCATTGACTACTCAACCCTCTGAAATAGTCGCTGTTCTACATTACAACGGATTTATTGAAGAAATCGCTGTTTCCCTCCTTCGATATTCGCATGTTTAACTAAAATTTCTACTTATAGCAGCTCTAAGATGAAAAATATTTAGTGATTGCACACATAAGCTTTCTTTCGAAATAAGCCTGACGTTTGTTGTCTTATACTGGATTCACACGAGAGTTTTGTTTGTAATTTTAGCTGTCAAAAATTTTCATTTTACACTGAAATCAACAACAATGACAGCTAAAATCACACAAAAATTTCTCATGTGAATCCAGTATTAATAGCCAGAAACCAATTGGACGACAAAAGCTCAAAACACAAGCTTAGAAATGAGCCCTCTGGTACTCTCTGCAAAACGAAAGCCGTTCAAACAATATGACTTTTGAAAAAATTTTGATTACATATCAATGCATACTAAATAACAGTGTAAGTGTAAGCAAAACAATATTGAAATTTTACTCAAAGCGAAATTAGGGGTAAGAGAGAAAAAGATAAAGAGAGAAAGAGAAAGCAGTGTACGCTGCTTGGAACAATTGTACTTCTTTCGTAATCACAGAAGGACCTGTTTTCGTTGCACAATTGGACATAGTCCTTAAGAACATATTAGGTGGTCTTGCTTCCTTGTATTACGGAAATCATTTGTATATACCTCAAAATTCATTCTTTAACGTAGTTAGGCCCATGTTATGCAGACTGTCACGGCCACGGCCACGTTAAAATTGACTCTTTCGGGCTATGACGAAAATGCATATTATGTAGAGTGTCACATCCGTATTGCCATTTCCGTATTTCTACTACTATTGCTACTGTTGTACTTTTTGGTTGTGCCTAAATTGAAAAGGGAATGTAGATATGTTCGCTTTTAATTACCCGCCATGAAGGCTGTAAAAATATTAATTTATTATTATATTTTCTCATAATAATTGTTAAGAGTATGTAGTGGTTGTTGTAGTTACTTAATTTTATCTATTTTATTTATTTAAATATTACAAATTATTTTGTTTTACATTTCTTCCAATCATAATGGCGGGAGACTCGATCGTTGGAACACTCTTTTTCTTTTTGACAGTTTTTTATAATAATTTTTTGGTGTAGCCATAGTACTCCCCCTTAAGTAGCGAAGTCACTGAATTTGGTTGGAAAAAAACGTTGCGTCCTGATCTTGTCAGGTTAGCTCTTGTATTTGGTCGTAAAGACTGGTCGCAATTTACGTTGTTTGGGGTAGGTCATACCACTGATTTGTTGTAAACGTCTATGTCTGTATTGTGACATATGAAAGCCGCTTTAAGGCGATCTATGCTCATTGTTTGTTCTTTGTTTTCGATCAGTACTTTAAGCGTCTTGTCATTCCGCTCTAGTATTTGGTAAGGGCCGTCGTAAGGTTGCGTCAGTGGTGGTTTTATCTTGTCATTTCGTATAAATATATGCGTAGCTGCGCTTAGAGCCGGTGGTATGTTTTAACCTCGGTCTGTATGATGCGATACTAACGTTGATTTGACTTTTTGCATTTGTGCTTTTAGCTTGGTTATGAAATCGTGTTGATTTGTATTTTTGTTGTTAAGGTTGCTTACTATTGCTTAAGATAAATTTTCCAACTTCATTTTTGTTGTATACCGAATGCTGGGGTGAGACAACCCATGAATAGCTTTAAAGATATGTAACCGGTACTTCTGTGGAATGTAAGGACGAATTCACCCAGTTGAAACTTCGCA